GAGTGTTGTGTTTTGTTGTGTCTGTTTATTAAAAAACATCTAATTTCAATCCGAACCACAATATTTTTAAGAGAGTTTTTTGGAGAAAGTTCTTCAAGTGAAGGAAAACGAAGATTACATATATCATATCATATCGTATCATATAATATCATCATACATGTATGTACGTATGTACATTATTACTGTATGTATATTACTGGTAGATTAAACCTAATTAAGAAGCTTACATATATATATCTTTAAAGCAGTATGCTATAAGGAGAAGGGCCCCTGCTATTCGATTCTGCTGCTGTCCTGAAGTGCAGCCAATCCAGCATTCGTTCAGTTCAGGTTCAGCGCTTGACCGAAACGAAACTCTAATTATGGACGGGTTATTATCAATCTTGTTTGTCAAAAACATCGTCGTACTCCGTCGTACAATTCGTAGCTGATAAATCTGTTTGTTCTTTGATTTCCAGTTCGGTTGTTCCTCTATCTTTAAGTTTAAGATTACTTTTATTGATTTCCATTGTTCTCTGTGTTCTGGTAAATGCAAAACCAAAAATACGAGTACTATTACTTTGCAATAAAAGCTCATCAATTGTTGGTCAATCAAGCAACTTCGTGGGGCCATTGGGAGGTTGTTCTTCGGGGGGTGTTGGTGTGCGAAATCAATCTATATAATCTGCAGAAACCTGGTTGGTCTTTCAACTAAATCCTAAATCAGCTGAAGCTTTCGACTAAAACTAAACCTTAGCCTAAACCTAAATTGTTTGCACAATTGCTTTGTTTTGATTTTGGTTTGGGTTTTGTTGGTTGGTTGTTTTTGGGCTTTTGCTATCGATAGTATTGCACAATATTACGATTAATTGTTATTATATTTCTGTTTTTTTTTTTTGCTAAACATTAAGATTTACTCCATTTGTAATTTGGTGGGATATATGTTGTATTTGTGGTTCATCATTCAATCATTATCATCATCATCATCATCATTATCTTCTGGTGTTCTTCAAAAGAAAGCATGCAAAAAAAGGATAAGAGGATAATTCGAGAAAATAAAAAATAAAACCAAAAACAGGGATTCCATAATTGCGTTATCGAATATCGGTTTATATATGTATTTTGTGGTAGGACATAGGTATTTATATAATTCTGGTAATAGTAAGTAAATATTTATATATATATATTCATATGGTTGATGTTCCATTATGCACTATACATACATATGTACGCATGGGCCATTGTGGACCACAGAAAACATCAGGCAAAAGAAACGACACACAAACAAAGTACAAGTTAAGGATAAAAGTAAAAGTAAAGGTAAAGGTAAAAGTAAAATTAAATTTTAAGTGTAAGTGTAAAATGTTAAAATAGTCAGATAAAGGCAACTCATCCTATCAATCCAGATTATGATTACAAACACAAGTACATAAGAAATATTGTAGTAAACACCGTTAAGCATTAGCTTTAGCTTTATATATGTATACATATACATATATATGTATATATATATATATATCATATCGTAATCGTAATCGTATTCGTATCGTTATAGTTACACATCATTTTCTACTGCTATCTCTTCATGCTGTTTGTTTGTTTTTTCTGTTGCTGGAAATCGAAAGGACGACGAGTACAAATATTAAGGCTACACGTTAAAACATTTTCGCATTTCGCATTTCTATATAATATACGTATATTTAGTGTGTTTAGAGTGTTTTGTGGATGTGGGTATCCTTCTCTTCCTATATTCCTATATCGTTTGCTCTTTTACACGTCAAATTGCTCTCACAGTGGGCCACAAAAGTCTGCAGCTGTCTCGTGTACGAGTGTGAGTTTTTTGTTAAATTTAAATTGAATTTGTTTTTGTTTTTTTTTTTGTTTGTTTGTTGTTGTTTAAATGTAAATTTAATTTTGTTTTCGTTAATTTTAAATGTAATTTTGTTATAAATTTAATTTGTTTTGTTGTTTGTAAGTCTATTAACGTTTCGTTTTTGTTACATTTAAAGCGTTCTTGATTTGTTTTTTCTTTTGTTTTCTTTTGTTTTGTTTTATTTTAATTCGTTTTTCATTTTTTTGTTGCTGCTCCTAAAACATTGAGTAGAAAGTGAAAAGTTGTTCCATTACAGATGCAGATACATTATTTAATTGTAAGATATACACATATAATATGAACAATATATGAACGTTTCAAACACACACCGACAGGAAAAAAGTGCAGGACGAAAAAACACAGAATCGACAAAACTTTTCGCTCTCTCTCTGCGAATGGGGGATACAGCACAAGTGTTTACGTTTACGTTTATTGTTACTTCTATTCCGTTAATATATAGGTATTTGTATTTATATTTATAGTTTGAATGGTCCATAAAATTTCTATAAAAAAAAACTCATCCTATCCCGTATCCGTATATCCGTATATCTATGGATGCTGCTTCGCTTCTGATCATTCGTTTTTCGGTTTTACAATTCAAGTATTTTTAATTTTTAATTGTTTGGTTTTTGTGTTGGTTTTCTTCTCGTTTTATTGTTTATGACAATTGTTAGCTGCTTGTTTGCCGTTTATTGTTTATCGTTTATTGTTTTTATACACAAAATATATATATGCATTGTATATACCACATCTAGATCTATAGTATGTACTTATGTATTTGTATGTACTCGTATATATTCACAACACTAACGTTTTCTTAATTATCGCCGCTACACAATGCTAATTACTCGTAAATGTTCCTTCTTTCGTTTAATTATAAACTACAAAAAGTTCTCTCTGTGTTTTTTTTGTCTTGTTAAAAAGTTGGTTTAAAAAACGATTGGTTTGTTTTTGTTTTTGTTTATGTTTTTGCTTTTACTTTGTTTTGTTTTGTTGTTCTGTTAACGCTATTGAATCCTGCACACTAATTAGTTAACATATATTGATGCATATCGCTAGATAGATATTTTTACGTTTGTTGTATTCATAATTTGTAGTTTAATTTCTAGACGATGACGACGACTGGCAAAACGCTCCTTTCCTCCTTTCCTCCATCTCCCTCCTACTATAACTCCTCCTCCTACATATATCTTTATCGTTATATTTATCTTTATCAATTTCTTTGCTTTTTGTTAAAAACTACATCACAATAATTATATGCTAGATCCTTTCAATCGGAGTTTTACCTCTCTATCCCTCTAATCCCGAAAATGGTGCTGAACTAGAAGGGACGAAGGGTGGTTTTATGGGGGCTTGCGGGTTGCGGGCTGCGGTTAACTGTATCTTTTGTAACTGTATCTTCTGTATGTATCTTATATAGGAAGTGCCACCCTCGCTAAGGGAACGAAAAAAAATATATATATAAATTTGCACACGCAACGACACGTTTAAGTTTAGGTCTAACTACAAAATACTTTAGGAAACCTATTTAACAAGATTTTTAGGTGTACAATAGTTTATATATCATATACATATATCTATATCTATATAGTGTATAGTGTATAGTGTATAGTGTATAGGTTTTAGTGGGTGTATGCATGTATGGGTGTAAAGTAAGCCGGTTTTGTACATATCAAAATTGCGTGCTATATTTACACAAAGTTCTACCCAAACATACGGTTGATCCTCTGCCATTTTGCGGCAACAAAACCCAATTATTACTTGGGATTCAGGTTTTAAGTTTACGAAAGAAACATTCATTTTTCAAGAACAAATTAAAGAGCCTAAAAAGGTTAATCGATTATTGCTAGATTGCTTGTTGTTTTTTATTTGTTATTTGTTGTTTTTTGTTGTTTGTTTGGTTTTTGTACTTTAGTAAAACTTTTCCCATAAGTTCTTCCACTACATAATTTCAAAGGTCTTTGCTTGTAGGGTGTGGGGGTTTTGGGGCTGGCGCTGAGTGCTAAAAAAAAAACATAGTTAAAAGAAGAACGAAACTCTTCTTCGGTTGCCGAAGCATTAGAACGCTAGTTCTGAATGTTACGTGCGGGTCTTTAAGACAGAAAGGCCAAACCAACCGAGTGGCGCTGCCGCATGACACGCAACACGTATACAAATGCTGCTAATCTAATCAAGAATATGCCTTACTGTATGCCTGCTAGCCAGATGTTTTCTTCTCTGCTTTTCAACAATATATAAAAAAAAAAAACTGGGGCTTAAAAACTAATAAGGGTTTTCGACATTCAATCCAAAGACCTGCTAAAAGCGCTCTGATGCGTCCGATGCTCAGTTCTTAAAATGTACAAAAAAAAAATAAAACTTCAATCCATGAAAGTGCTCTTTCGCGCTCTAGTGTTAGAGATACTCTTCTCGTATTTATATATCGATATATACAATTGTTCCTATAATTATTTGTGGGTTTAACTTAATTTAGAATCGTTATTTGTTAATCGTATTTTGTATTTTTGCATATTTGTTGCGGTTATTTCTATGAGTGTGTTTCACGAGTGTGTATAAAAAAAAATGTCGCATTCATTGCCATCCTTACTCCTGCTCCTGCTCCTGCTCCTACTCCTATATTTCCTTCTACTTCTATCAGCTAGGTTTATCTTCGATCCTAGGGTCTATTTAGTTATTCTTGCTTTGCTTTGTTGTTTGCTAGTAAGGTTTTTGCGGTATTTCTTATTTACTTGTTAATCTACAATTTTTTTGAATTACTTTCTTCTTGTTTTTGTTTGTTTTGTTTTTCGTTCTTGTTGCTTTGTGTAAAAGGCAAATTGCATTAAATTTATATTGTTTGTTTGTTGCTTTTTGTTGTTGTTGGTGTTGGTGTTAATGTTGGTGTTGCATTAGTGGCTGCTACTGCTACTGCTGCTGTTGCTTATTATTTTTGCTCTCGTCTCGTGTTCGCATTTCGTTTTTGAGGTACTTTCTAAGAGTCTAAGGAATTACTAAGCTTTTTGTTTGTTAGTGTCGCTGGCGTGCCATTAAATTGTTTGTTTGTTGTTGTTGTTGTTGTTTGATATTGTAGTATTCATAATTATAGTATTACATATGCATATGTATATAATGTATGTATAATATATGTAGAGAATATTTTGATGTATCAATAAAATACAATACACAACACACATAGAGAATGAAACGCTTTCGTTTTGTAGAAGAGGAAAAAACAACAATCTGCATATACAGATAAAAACTACACACACACACATATACATATATATATGTCCGCATATATACCCATATATATACTATATATATATATAGAGAGAGAGAGAAGAAAGTGAAGCTATGGGCTCTACGCACGTCTTACACTTGCAAGCGTGTAAGACTGCTTCTCCGCTTTACATTTACAATTATGATATTATAGAACATAATACAACTGAATAATCGTAAGGGCTAGTCCAACGATGTGGAGTCTGCTGTATTCCAAATCCAAATCCTCTTCCAGTTGAAACAAATATCTCTTTCATATCCAAAGAAAACGAATGAGCTGGCGACGAGACGATGCTCTCAATGCTTGCGGCGTGATGTTCTGCAAAATATGTTGAATGCCGCTGAAGATGTTGATGCTGTTGCTGTTGCCGCTGCTGCGGCTGCTGCTGTTGTTATTGCCTCAGAAAAAGACGCTTCTGATGATGTGGCTGTGGCAGCAACTGAAGATGTGACTGAGGCTGCTGCTGATGCCTCTCTTGATGTGATAGACTCCTCGCTACCCGCCTGCAGCATACTGCTGTTGTGTTGTATAATCGTCTGCTGCATCAGTAGCATAAACCACCAGCACTGTGTCAACTGTAGCTGCTGCTGCTGCTGCTGCTCCTGTTGCTGTAGCTCATGGCTTGGGTCATCCACTCCTTCCTCAACCGAGGCCACAAACGATCTGCGAATGAATAAGGATACGAAAATTGAGTAAAGAACGTTCCCCTCCACGGTGCTCCGACAATCTCAATGGTTTGAACGCCTTTTAATTGTGCCGGCATTTTCGACTCACTCGAGCGCTGAATCATTCAAATGAGTTTTCTTGAGCTCAGATCGTGATGGTGGTGATTCGCTGTGTGCTGGTGGTGTCACATCTCCCTCTCTCTCTCTCGTTCTCGTTCTCGTTCTCGATTTCGTGTCGTCTCGTCTCGCCTAACCCTCTGTTCGTTCGTGTCACCCACTTTCGTGGCTCCCTACTCAGCCCCATACCATATGTTGGTGGGCGCGAAGTGCGCCGCATGCTTGCCGGCGGCAGCTACCTGGGCAGGACTGAGTGGTCCGAATTGGCTGTACTGCGTGGGTATCTGGATGTGGGCCGGCAACGGATGCGACGGTATCACCTAAAAGTAGCAGGGAAATCCCCCATTAGCATCCCTCGGCATCTATTTCGCCCCCAGCAGCAAGAGCCACTGGCACTCACCTGACGGCTGCTGCTGTTGTGCGCCGGTGGTGGGGCCACCACTGCTCTGTTGGCGTACGCGTAGCTGGGCGCCGCCTGCGACACAAACACCGTGGGACGGCGATAGATGTCGCCCTGCGCATAGATGTCCGTCTGCAGCATGGCCGCCGCTGCCGTGGACGAGGGCGAGCCGCCCAGCGGTGTCCCAGCCTGATGATGATGATGGCTGTGGCTGCTGTGGTGGTGATGCGGCGCAGCCGGCGGCTGGGAGGCCACACTGCCTGGCGGCGGCTGCGATGGCTGGCGGTAGACCTGAGGTGCCCCCCAGGAGGGCGGTCCCACAGCGGCTGCCGCCGCGGCAGCTGCAGCTGCGGCCGCTGCAGTCGCAGCGCTAATCGACGATGAAGACGACGACGAACTGCTCTTCGAGTGGGCCAGGGGCGGCGCCACAGCGGGTGCCACATAGCTAATGGGCGCAGCCGAGGGCGCCTCTCGCTTCGGATGCGCCAGCGGCGGTGCAGCAGAGGAGGATGTGGGCGCCCACGAGGAGCGCTTCGTGTCCAACTGCTGCTGTTGCTGCTGCTGCTGTGGGACGTATTCCGGATAGAACTCAGCCGGCTCCTGCTTTGGCGGAATGTGCGGCAGACTGGCGGATGGCTGCGGCTGCTGCACCTGCACCTGCTGCTGCGGCTGGTAGTTGCACTCGCTTTGGGCCATCGCTAGGATGCGTTTCTTTTGCGATTGCCCCGGCTCGTACTTGATGTTCGGCTGCGGCTGCTGTTGCACTTGCTGCTGCTGCTGCTGTTGCTGCTGCTGTGGCTGCGGCTGATAGTGTGGCTGCTGCTGCTGTGGCGGCGGCTGGTGTTGTTGTTGTTGTTGTTGTTGCTGCTGCTGCTGATGGTGATGCTTGGGGCTCCCTGCGGCAATGGCTGCCGCGGCTGCTGCGTGATGGCGTCGACGTGCGTCCTCCGGATCGTGTTCACCTACGGTTACGCATGGAATTACTAGCTGGACGTGCGATGACTTATGGCTGCGACTGAGATGCTGAGGCTGAGACGTAGAGACGGATAGGGGTAGGGGTAGGGGTAGGGGCACGGGTAGTGGGACAGGGGCAAGGAGAGCAGAGGCAGAGGCAGAAGAGGAGTGGGAGGAAGCAGCAGAGGATTGGGATTGGGACTGGGACTGGGACTGGGACTGCGGCTGGGATTGACTATGATGGCTATGATGATGATGGTGGTGATGGTGGTGCAGATGCTGTGGCTGTGGCTGTTGCTGCTGTAGCGATGGCTGATGATTGGAAGTGGAAGCAGAATTGGAGGAGGATGATGTCGATGATTGATAGTGTGAATGCGGCGGCGGCGGCGGCGGCTGCTGTTGCTGCTGCTGCTGCGGCTGATGCTGTTGTTGTTGCTGCAGATGCTGCTGCTGCAGATGCTGAGGCTGCGGCTGCGGCAGAGTCAAAGGAGCTTGTGGCAGAGTCAAAGGCTGTGGCTGTGGCTGAGGCTGGGGCTGGGGCTGAGGCAGAACGTGAAGCACAGGCAGTGGCTGTTGCTGTTGCTGTTGCGAGCATGAGGCGGCTGTGGCCATATCAAGGGCTGTCGCTGTCGCTGTGGCTGTTGCTGCTGCTGCTGCGGCTGCTGCTGCACCAATCCCGAATCCCGCATTTCCATTTCCATTTCCACTTCCATTCGAATGCGGCTGATTATTATGATGGTGGTGGTGGTGGTGGCTGTTATGATGAGGATTGCTACTGTTGCTACTGTGGTGGCTACTGCTATTACTGCTATTACTACCCTTACTGCCGCTGCCGCTGCCACTGCCACTGCCACTGGCACTCCCACCGCTGCCACTGCTGCCGCTCCCCAATCTGTTCGACGAGGAGGCGGAGGAGCTTGTTGCAGTGGAGCCTGGTGGCATGTGGCCGGAGCTGGAGCTGATGTTATTTGCGCTGTGGCTGTGGCTGTGGTGGTTTTGGTGGCTGTGGTGGCTATGGTGGTTTTGTTGGTTGTTGTTCTGGGCATTACCATAATTGATCGATTGCTGCTGCTGCTGCTGCTGCTGCTGCTGCTGTTGCTGCTGCTGTTGCACGTTGCTCTGGTTGCTGCTCCTCTGGCAATGCAGTGGCACAGAGGATTGCTGCTGCTGCTGCTGCTGCATCAGACTGCTGCTCGTCTGGGACTGGGCATGCGCCCGCTGCTTCACTGGCGCCGCTGTTGTTGCCCCATTGTCCCCGCCCTCGTCCTCGCTGTCCGAAATGGTGATCACTGCCGTCGGTGAGGGCGTATCATGGATGGTGATCGTCGGCTGTTGCTTCACATGCGACTGCTGCTGCTGCTGTGGATGCGGATGTGGATGCGGATGCGGATGCTGTTGCTGCTGCTGCGGCTGGTGCTGCTGCTGCTGCGGATGTGGGGCGTGCGACGGCGGCTGCTGGTAGCCTCCATTCGCCTGACAATTGCTCACAATATGATGGCCGCCCGACGAGGCGCTATACGGCTGCTGCACATGCGCCACTGGGGCGCCATGATGGTGGTGCGATCCCCCCGAGCTGCTGGGAATATCTGCAAGAGAGGAACGGAGTCACAGGGTGTTATTCCACCGGTTTTTGGTCGCTTAGGGGCTCTGCACTCACTGCTCGCCGAGGCTCCCCCACCGGATGAGGCCAGCACCGAGCCGCCCGCGCCGCTGCCGCCACTGCCGTAGTTGCCGCCGTAATTGCAGTTGTGATGCGTGTGGTACTGCGGCGACACGTGGGCCGTTCGCTGGTAGCGCTGCTGGTGCGGCGGCGAGCTCTCCTTCACGCGCTTCTTCACTGGCGACAGCTGCTGGTGCTCCTTCTTCTCATGACGCGGCACGCGATAAGAGTTGCCCTTGCTGCAGAGGAAAGAGAAGAAGATGCTTAGGGGCACAATATTTGGCGTAGATCTGTCGGAGATCTGGCGGGGAATACTCACGCTAAATGATGAGCCGGCGATTCCTTTTTGAGATCGTTGCGTGGCAAATTGAGATGATGCTTGGGATAGATCTCCTCCACGTTGAAGAGCGGCGTCGAGTCGACAATCAGCGAGTGGGCGGGCGCCTGCTGCGGCCACGAGGGCACCAGGGCCATCTGTCGCCCGGTCTGGGGCCAGGCCACACCACTCGCCTGCACGCGGTTCGTCAGCAGCATCCTCTGGCCCGAGGTGGGCTCCACCATCGACACTGGCACCGGCACGTTCACGTACTGCTGCGGCGGCACCTGCAGGGGCGGCTGCATGGTGGCACTGCCCACCACCACGTGCTTCGTGGGACTGGCCATCGCCTGGTACGACGGCGGACAGAGGATGTTCGACACCAACTGATGCTGGAAGCTGTCGGTGCGCGCCTGCGGATACTGGCGCGCCACACTGCGGCCGTTGTAGATCTGGTAGAGGCCCTCGTAGGCCAGGGGCCGGCCGTCCCGCACGAGGCGCTGCACTTGGCTGGTCAGCTGGTTGTTGATCGTAAATGTCATGTTCTCGGTGCTGCTGGGCACGAAATTGGTGACCAACGTCGAAGCAGGTTGTACGCTGGACAAGAGCAGAGGAAAAGAGACAGGGAATCAATCAATCAGAGGGAGATGGAGATAGAGGTCTTCAGAGGCATTCTCTTACGTGTGGAAATCGCCGCGACGACACACTTCCATCATCTGGACAGAGGCCTTCACGTTGTTGCAATACACATAGTCGACGAGGTGCGTGAGGCGCGTGAACGAATGGTTGAGCGCCTCTGCGGGGGTGAGGCGTCGCTCCTGGTCGATCGTCAGCATGCGCTTGAGGAGATCTATGAACTCCCGCCGATCGGTTTTCTCGGCCAGCAGCTGGCCGCCCTCCAGGTCCGTGGGCACATTCACCTGTCCGATGTCGTCCAGGCAGTTGAAGATGTACTTCCTCGCCTCCTTGCTCTTCGTGTTGGTCTCCGCCTCGTGCTCCTCGGTGGTCTTGAGGCGCCAGAACGGGTACGTCGAGTCCACGTCGCGGTAGAAGAACTTCGAGGTCTTCGAGGCGCTGTTCAGCATGTGCTCCGTGGGCAGCCCCTGCGTCTGCGAGATGTACCTGATCTGGTCGAACTCCGAGCTGCCGGGGTACAGGGGCCAGCCCAGGAAGAGCTCGGCCACCACACAGCCCAGCGACCACATGTCGATGGCCTCGCAGAACGGCAGCCCCAGGATGATCTCCGGGGCGCGATAGTAGCGCGACTGCAGATACGTGTTGCACACAGTTTTGCTCACATGCGAGGCGCTCCCGAAGTCGATCACCTTCACGCGGTACGGCTGCCGCACGGGATCGACGAGCATTATGTTCTCGGGCTTCAGATCGGCATGAATCAGACCCAATTGCTTGAGCTTCAACAGGGCCGTCAGTACCTGCGAACGGGGGCAAGGGAGAGCGCATGGTCAATGACTGATTTACGATTGATTTCGTTTGCCTTACCTGCTCCAAAATGGGTCTTATGTACTTCAAAGGCAGCGGCGAGAACTTGTTCTGCTTGAGGAAGTCGTACAGGTTCTGCTCGAGCATCTCGAACACCAGACACGTGTGGTTCTTGTGCTGGAAGCACTCGAAGGCACGCACAAAGTTGAACTCGTCGGCATTCTCCTGGCTCAGACGCGACAGAATGGAGACCTCGATCTGCCCCTGGCGGGCGTACGACGGATGGTTCTTCAGGATCTTGATAGCGACGATCTCGGAGGTGCCGCGCTTCCAGCATTTGACCACCTGACCGAAGGTGCCACGTCCCAAGAACTCGAGGACCTGCAACGAACGACAAGTGATTAGGGATCTTTCCTCGAGGATCTTCCATGAGACCTACCTCATACTCCGCCGAAAGCGAATACAGGACCTCGTGCTGCACCAACTGATAGTCGCCGTCGGCCCCGCTGCTCGACCTCTTGCTGGGGGGCTGCGTATTGGCATGGCCCCCCGATGTGGCAACCTTTGTGTGCGCCGTCTTGAGGCTGTTGCTGTGGTGTGGCACCTGCTGCTGCTGCTGCTGATCCTGCTGCTGCTGCTGCACTGCTGTCGGGCCGTGGCTGATGTTGTACGAGTCCACGCAGCCGCAATCGCAATCTGAAATGGCAGAGGACACACCAAGAAGTCAGTTTCGGGACTGCCATCGAATGCCGGAAGCCTAGACACGATCCTACCTCTCCGCAAGAACCTTCTAAGCAGAAAGGATATCATTTTGTCTTTTCGAATTTACTTCCCGTTCTATGATTTTGTAAAATTTTCGATTTGTTTCTGACTTTGTGAAAACTCTCCTGATTTTTCAGGCAATTTCCGCACCTGGCAGTAGTCTCAAAGCAACTGAGAGCCACATTCCCATTCCCATTCCCATTCCCAGACATAGGCGTATATCGAATATATCGAATATATATACGTTTATTCCTATATAATGCACTCGCACTCAGCGGACATCGGACAACATTCGCATTCGCGACTTGTCAACGCGCAACAAAGAAAGAGGAAGCCGCAGCCATTTAATGGGGTGATTGGGGCGGCGGGGTGGGCGGGGTGGTCCTCCCCCACCCATTGCTTTGGCGCTGAGTGGCAATGAGGAAGGATCCCCGCGGATCCCCTGTTTATTTACCCTTGACAAAGAGGCGGAGATGGCCAATGATGGGCGGATTCCAGCCGGACCCGTGGTTCTCTCCGTAAATCGGAATCTTTACGAGTCGGTACATTATTTTTGGTTTTTTCGTTTTTCGCTTTTTCGTTATCGTACTGCTTTTTCAAAATTTACTTTCGAATTGAAACGATAGATGTCTACTTTCCAAGGGGTAGCAGAATATTTGTTGAAGGAAAATTCTACGGGTTCTTCGACTTGGGAAAGGGTTTCCGAAGCCCCCCTTGAGGGGCAACGGTGGAAACGTTTCTTCGGGGGTGTTTCCCGTTCAAATATTCATCGACTCTTTTTGAATATTTGAAAAGCTGCGAAGAACATTCCAAAGGGCGTACGAATACACTGATTACAAAGGAGGTCTCTTCGAACTTTGAGCTGCACGACGGGGAGGAGGCCAGGAGTCCCTAAGTCCCTGAGAGGGTTTCCATAACACCCATACATTGGGGATATTTCTGTCATATTTCCGGCTATTCATTCAGTCATTCGGACATTAAATTATTCATTCATGTGGTGATGGAAATGGCTAAATTTAGAATCGGTTAACTAGCCCCATTCCCAAGGCAACCACTCACCGCTGCCTCCCCGCCACCCCCCCCGGCCACACTCGATCCATCCTTTTGCTTGACCGACTTCCAGGATTCGCATAACTTAATTAATTTGCGTCAAAGGACATTTGATACGAAGGCAAAAGGCATTAAAATAGCCCCCTACACAGGCCCCACACACAATGGTTGAGGTCTGTGCGGTTTCTGCACAAGGAGCGCACATGGGGGAGGGTAAGGGGGAGAGGAGGGGAAACACGTAGGGAAATAGGAGAGCCACACACACAGGCAGGGAGGGTAGGGGCACCTACTGCGAGAGGCCCAGGGCTGGCCACCGTTGGGTTCCGTTGGGCAGAGGAGGGAGCCCACGCACCGATGTCGGCCAATTACAGGATATACTATATGCTATATGCTGTATAAACTATATGCCACACCATAAAGAGGACAACGGACTGGATTGGTTCGCGTGGGCGTAGTGCGGGGAAAACCCAGAGCTGAAAGGCAATCAAAACTAAAATTAAGGACACACGCGATGCGATGTTGGAGGCAGTAACAGGAGCAGGAGGAGCAGGCTGAATAGCAGGGAAGCAGGGGGACTGGGGGAGACGGAGGAGCGACGCTGGACATTGGCTCGACTGCGAGGGACGACATTTGATGTGCTTGGTGGAGGTTTATGGCAGGAAAGGAGACCACCAGGAGCAGGCAGGATGTGGGCACGGACAGTAAATGAAATGAAAAACTAAATGCAATAAATTATGCAAAATGTGCGGTGGAAAATGTTAGAGGGGGGAGGGGGGGAGCGAGGAAAATCGAAACTGAAACACAAATTGAAAGGCGACTTGCTAGTGGCGAGTGGCGACTGTGGATGTGGATATGGAGGTCATACCTGACGGCAAAGTCAACGCGAAGGTCAAACCAGAGTTCGGGGAGAAGGTCACACAGAGTTCGAAAAGGGGAGGGAGTGTAAGAGCGAGAGCGAGGGAGAGAGCGAAAGCCTGCTGCAAGGTCATCCAATCATCCGCCCAATCGGCAGCACCACACTTTATGGGGCAGCATCCTCGCATCCGGGCAAGGACTTCTTGCACAACGACGCATCACGTGGCACAGCTGCTGCAGCTGAAGGAGCCCTTCCCCCGTCCGCCTGCCACTGCCTCGTGCCTCTGCTGCAGCAACAAGTTACATGAATGCCACACACAGCACAAAAGTTTGGCATAATTATTATCCCGCCTGCCGACTGCCGCCTGCCGCCTCCCGCCACGTTGCCGTTACGCTGCGCACGTTGCACAACACTGCATTGGGGCATGTGGCACGGGGGCACGGGGACACGGGGCCACAATAGAGAAGCCAATTTCGTTTACACAAATCTCAGCCACAGAGCCACAGCCACAGCCACAGCGGAGTGCTGCTGCTGCTGCGGCGCCAAACAAAGCTGCAACGTGACGCAGTTTTTAGCTAACAAAATGAATCCGTATTCGAATTCAAATCTGCCGCTGGCTCTGCACTCCGCCGCTCCGGCGTTGCATAAAAGATTACCGTAACTGTAAATGGAAACGCACGAGGCGGCGCCTGCTCTCGAACGACTGCCCCTTGCGGCACGAGGCGTTGGATTAAAGTCCCGATCAGGGAATTCCCAGAAATTAATTTCCTTTCAATACTTTCGAACAGCACGTGGAGGCTCTCGGGGGATCCAGTGGAGTGCCCTTAAGCTTTCGAGATCTTAAAAGTTTCCCAACAAAAGGGGACCCTAGAAATGTAGGCTCCTTGAGAGATAGAACCCATGCACATTCCAGGAAATATCTTGGAGATATCCCACATCCCATAGATCGTAATGCATGGATTTCCCAAGAACTTCTGCTGGAAAAGATTTCCAGGAAAACCATGGAACGATGTAGGTGCTATAACCCCTTTGGGGTCTCTCTCTCTATCCCTCCCTCTCGCACACGTGGTCTTTGTTATCGCACTGTTATCGCCCTGTTATCGCTAAGACCCCCTCGTGTTATCGGTTAAGTGGTCGATCGCAAAACAAATTCATTGGGGAATTGCGGCGTCTTACGAGGGGAAGAGGGCAGAGAGCAGAGCTGATAAATGTTGGAAGGGCGGACGGCACCCCTGTGCTGGATCGGGGCTCCGCCGCACAATGGCTTGGCGTTCACAGATTGTTTGCCGTACGGGTAATTGCAGTAATCATATTGCAACAATTGCTGTATCAAGCTATGGCTATGGCTATGCGGATTGAAGGCAATTAAAGCCCAATCCCAGTGCACACGATCCCCCCCTCCCCCCCTTGTGGCGCCCTCTTCCTCTGGTGCCACGTGTTTGTGGTCATTACTCAATTTTCGATTACGAAACAGAGAACCGAGAACAGAAAACAGAGATGATATTGTGGTATATTAACGATGGTTAGGGATGTAAATGATATCGTAGTAGCTCTGAATATCTTCTGACGGTAGCTTGGAGGCTTTTTTAGGGTAGTACTCCCCGGTACCCCCCCTGTACCACTGTACATCCCATTGATGGTTAACCGAAGCCCCTCCCAAAATATTTCCATAACCAAAAATGCAAATTTGTAGCTCTTTTCTTTCCTGTTTCTTTTTTTTTTTACCACAAACCAAAAAAAGTGCAGTTTAAACCCCACGGAACGGAACAACGGAAGTGGGAACAAAGCCAACAAAAACAACTACAACAACAAATTATGTTTTTGTTCAAAAGAGAGACTCGAAAAAATACCAAATACTCGTACATTTTCTCTTTTTTTTTATTATTTTCAAAACGGAAGCGGAAAGGCGCTAAATGAAAAAAGCAAAGAAAAACAAGGTACAAAAAAAAATAAAACAAATTACAATAAGTGAATAGATAGCATGGGAAAGAGAGAGAGGGGAAGAGCGAAGGCATGGAGAGAAGTAAAGGGAGCAAGACAGAGAGAGAGTAGCCAGAGGGACGGAGAGGAGTATGCTGATGGGATGAAAGGCGGGAGAGCCGGAGCGGTGGATACCGATATACCGATACACCGGTAGAGAGTGTGTTCGAGAGCATACCATACAAAATCAACAGGTTAGTTGGGTTCGTGTAGTCGATTCAACCTGCAGTCCGGGGTTCGGGGTTCGGGGTCTGGAGCTGGGGTCTGGGGTCCGGTATCTGGTGTCTCGGGGTTCGGGGTCTGGGGTCTGGAGTCCGGGCTCTCGCTGCTGCAGTGCGTCGCCGCATATTAAATGCGCTGATTAATCGAGGCAAACAATAAACAAGGGACAGGGCGACAGACAGACAGACAGACAGGAGACGGAGACAGGAGACAGGCGAAAGAGAGACGGAGAACCAGAGGTGAAAAGAAAAAGACACAACAGAGAGGGAGATGGAAATGGAGAGGTAAAAACGGGGGCAAGACACAAGGAATGTTGTTGCTGAGCCACAGAGACATAATGGGGCACACAGGAGGCGGGGTGGGTGGAGCAGGGGGTTGTATAAATATTTGTCGCTGCCGCAATGAGAGCAATGCACGGGCAAGCATTTCCACTTGTCAACGCACCTGACGATGGAGGCAACAAACAACAACAACAA